TGGGAGTTGAGGTCCCCAGATGCTGGCTGGGGAATTCTGGGAGTTGAAGTCCCCAGATGCTGGCTGGGGAATTCTGGGAGTTGAAGTCCACGCAATCTGAAAATTGTCAAGATTTAGAAACCTTTCTTACATCAGTGAAGGGGATTGTGTGAACCCAGCTGAGCCGTGCTTCTGTCTCTCTTCCCAGTTGCAACAGCCAGTGTATATGCGTGCAAAGGATTGGATAAACTGGAAGAGAAGCTACCGATCTTACAGCAGCCGTCTGACAAGGTCAGTGGCCCTTTGCCACAGGCGTTCCGATTTCATGATGATGTTGTGGCCCGCCAGCGGCCAGCAGAGCTGGCGGCAGAATCAAGACACTGAGGAGGTTGGGGAGGAACATGGGCCGGTCCTGGAGTCTGGAGAAGGCTCTGGTACGTACTCTGCATCGGAGACAGAGATGGGGGCCAGGGCCGTCTGACAGTTATCAGCTGCCTTCGGAGTTGGATATCAGTGGGACAGAAGAACAGCTGGAGCCTGTTCCCAGTGTGCGCATGCACAGAGCTGCCAGAAGAAGGGAACTGCTAAGGAACAAGGGTCGGCTTGGGAGTAAAGCCACAGGTAGATAGCGAATGGATCCTCCCATAGGGAATAAAAAAGGAACAAAAGGGGAGTGGTGTTTGCAGGAGACAGTTAGTTCGTTTAATTAGTGTGAAGATTTGTTCGTGACTCTCCTTGCCAAGTGTTTTCTTGTACAGCATGGCATTTGGAAGCTATCGGCCTGGCAGCTCTCCAAGCCTGATAAGGTCTGTGGTTATAATTCACCCTTGAAAGACCGTTTGCCGGGACTTTGCTGGAAGTGAATGATAGGAATTCACATTAGCCTAATAAAAAGGGGTTTTTATCGGGACGAGGAGTCTTGTTTTGTGATTTTGGGAAGCCTTGGGTGAGAACAGATGAATCTACTTTGGCTTGAATCATGTCGCAGAGTCAGCCTATTGCCTCAGCAACTGATTGATCTCCGGGTGGCCTCCCATCTGTCCTGGAGAAAACCAAGATGGCAGGCAGACCCGGGATCTTTACAGGGAGTAGGTTCCCCGAAGCAGCTGTACTTTGGACCAAGCGAGTAGGTTGTGCAAAACCTCCTTTCCCGACACTTCAGCGTTTTGCATCCGTTAGTCTTGGATTCAAGGATTTCCGTACATACCTCATTTTGAGGTGAAATGTTGAGGCGAAACCGCTTCTAGGCAAGTAGAGGCAGCCCTTGACTTACGAGCACAATTGAACTCCAAATGTCTGGCGTTAAGTGAGTTCTTCTGCCCCATTTTATAACCTTCCTTGCCACCGTTGTTAAGTAAATCACTGTGGGTGTTAAATTAGTCACGCGGTTGTGAATCTGGCTTCCCTTATTGACTTCGCTTGTCAGAAAGCCGCAAAAGGGGATCACGTTATCCCGGGAAAATGCAACCATCGTAAATGTGAGTCAGTTGCCAAGCATCTGGATTTCGATCGCGTGACCATGTGGGGCAGTTGTAAGTGGGAACATTTGTCACACATCACTTTTTTTGTGTTCTTGTGAACGGTCACCAAAACGGTTGTAAATCCAACACTATCTCTATTTTTTTTTCTTCCCGTCCTCCTCATCTCTCTTACTTTAAAATGGATATTTATCCCTTTATTTAGACGCAATCTCTGGATTCCTTCATTTATTTCTTTAGAGTGAATTAATTCAGGACTGGGCTATTTTCTACAGGTGCACATCAGTTAAAAAACAACAACTCTGTGTCATGCCTCAGTTGGAGACCGACTCCGAGGGAGAGGAGGAACAGCCGACAGGGAGTGGAAGTGGGGCTCCGGAGGTTGGGGAGGAGGCTGGGGAAGGGCAGAGGCCGGCTGGGCATTCAGAGGAGGACCCAGGCCCATCCCCTCTCCATCCTAGGTCACGCAGGGAGGAGAGGATAAGGGAGAAACATGAATGGCGTGGTCTATGGGGGAGGAAGGGGCCTTGATCCCCTTCATGGGCTGCAGCTGTGACAACTGGATAAGAGGACGGACATGCGTATGGGCCAGTGCTGGAAACAAAGCATGGAAATATCTCTAGTTTATTGTTCCTCTCTGAGTTTGGCGTCCTTCCCAGTGTGTGTTCTGATATCTGTGGACGTCTTCAAGCCCTTATCTTGCCTGGTTCCGTTAGTTGTTCCAGTGTGGTTCGGTGTTGTTTTTATTCTTTATAATTTATAGGCATTTTCAGTTTAAATGACATTTCCTCCTTTCCGTAACTGCTTGTGGGGGAGGTTTTTTTTGTCTCTAGTGAAGGATATTTGGAGCTTTGAAGCAAAGTGAAGGAATAAAAGGGGCTTTGCCTGTTTTTGTGACTGTTTATTTTGTATCCTACCCTGGGTCATCACACCTTGGATCCAAATTTCCCAGAAACTATCCAGTTTTTTTTTTTAAAAAAAAATTACTAGCCGATAACCTGGCATTGCCCAGGTATTTATTTATCCTAATCCTGAATTACACAGGAAAAGCCCTGATTTCGGTGACCTGGAACAACCAGGATTTTCCCTGTTACCAGAGAGACACCCCACTTTCCGGAGTACTGTGAAGCCATTACCATGGCAACTCCACAACGCTGTACAGTAGAAGCCATTTTAAGGCAGTACGGTAGAAGCCATTTGAAGGCAAAAGCAGGCTGTATCTTAAGAATACACACCCCAAGGGGTATTAGGGGGTGTCTTATCCCCACAATATTCGTTTCCAGAGAGTAAAGTAATCTGTGTACCAAGTTTGGTTGAAATTGCTCAAGACGTTCCAGAGTTATGCTGGAGCATACACACACTCATCCTTTAGATAGATAGATAGATAGATAGATAGATAGATAGATAGATAGATAGATAGATAGATAGATAGAGATGATAGATAGATAGAAGATAGATAATGATAGATAGATAGATAGAAGATAGATAGATAGATAGATAGATAGATAGATAGATAGATAGATAGATAGATAGATAGATAGATAGA